TTCACAGGATTATAAGGGAGAATTGCTATTATATAAATAAAAATAAAAACAACTATTAGAAAACGCCTGGAGATACTATGGATTAGTACCTACATACCAAATTTGATCAAAATCGGACTACAAGCAAGTGTGGTCTGTAGCTCTGTACACTTCCACACACACACACACACACAGACATCACTTCGAAAACCACTTTTTTGGGTTTAGAGGGACCCAAAACGGATATATCCACTCAAAACTCAAACATGTTGATGAAAAAAATACTTTCTACATATACTATGTCTAGGGGGAGAAAGTAAAAATAAAATATGAATACATGAAAGGTATAGCAATGACTATACCTTAACTAAGGGTTTTTCAGAAACAAAATTTATTTAGAAGAATTGCATTATTTTTTACAGTTCCAAAATTAAGTGAAGACTTAAGGGTCCGCTCTACCCGTGCCGTTTTGTTTAAACGCAAGGGTCTGGGGCAACAGTGTTTCCGAAGGCTTAATTTCACGTAGAATAAAAGTTAGGGTGTCATTTTATCAAAAATATGGTGGTTGCAATATGTTTACTATCATACCATAAAGCCTGAAAATCTTCTTTTGAATGTAGATGAAACTTGACAATTTTCTGTTGGAGTTACAACATCATCCAATTTACTTATTACCTGTTTTATAAAATCATATGTTATATATCTAGTTTTGTTATGCTTATAAGTAAATAAAAGTTATTATTGTGTGAGTGTTATTAAAGAATAGTTGATTCAATTTTAACAGATTATAAGACTCAATTAAGTGAGGAATATGGAAAGAAATATGAGTTATCACATTGAACTTTTGAACAGAAATAATTATGACACATGGAAAATGCAGATGGAAGAAATTTTAGTTAAAAATGATTTACTTGGGTATGTGTTAGGAACCATTAAAAGGCCTCTAGAAGAAGGTGAAAGAATGACTGCTTGGCTAATCACTGATGCAAAGGCAAAGGCAGATATAATCCTCTCTATCAGCCCAAGCGAATTAAAGCAAGTGAAAGGATGTAACACTTCAGCAGAGATATGGGAAAAATTAAAAGGCATTTATGATTCCAGTGGACCAGCAAGGAAAGCCTGTTTGTTAAAGAAGCTAATTTTGGCAAAACTGACACCTGATTATGATGTCAGAGATTACATGAATATGTTTTTTGATGTAGTGGACAAATTAAAAGGAATGGACATCGATATTAATGAGGATCTTTTGACAATTATTCTTTTGTATTCCCTGTCAGATGAATTTGAAAACTTTAGAATTGCTATTGAAACTAGAGATGCACTGCCTTCTCCTGAAACTTTGAAAATAAAAATTGTAGAAGAGTGGGAAGCGAGAAAAGAACATGGTAAGAAAGAGAGTAGTGAAGCTCTGCTAGGAAAATTTCAGAAAAAAGTTAGATTTCAACCAGGAAGATTTTCAAAAGACTCTTATAGAAATAGAACGGAATCAGTTGATTTTCCGTTTCGATGCTTTATATGTAAAGCGATCGGGCATAAAGCAAAATTTTGTCCCAAAGCAAATAAAGATCAACAAAACGTAGCGATTGCTAAGCTAGAAGAAGTAGGACTTAATTCTTCTGTACAAGATGACTCTTATTTTAGAAACTTGTCAATAAAAGTGTCAATATACAGTGGTGTTTGGACAGTGGATGCACTTCACATATGACTCATGTGAACAGTAAATTTACCAAGTACAAGCCTGTAAATGGAAGAAGTATATCTCTTGCCAACAATTCATCAACTGATGCAAGAGGGGTTGGAACAGTTAATATGAACATTTTAAATGGAAGTACAAATCTAAGCGTTAATTTGTATGACACTTTGTATGTACCAGAACTTCGAACAAACCTGATGTCTGTAGCTAAAATTACTGACCATGGGTATCAAGTTTTGTTTAAAAAAGATGCTGCTTTAATAATAGATCAGAATGGACAGACAAAGATCCATGCGAATAGGTTAAATGGACTTTATTACATACAAGAGAGTAGTGAAGAAATGAATATAAGCTGTGAAAAATCAAGTCTATTGTCTTGGCACCAACATTTTGGACACTTGAACTTTGGAGACTTGAAAAGAATAATCAATTTAAATATGGTTAAAGGTATTAAAGTGAACACAAAAGAGCTTATTCCACAATGCGAGGTGTGTATTCAAGGAAAATTTACAAAAAGACCCTTTCCTAAAAGTGAAAGAACATCTGAAGTGCTGGACATTATTCACTCTGACATCTGTGGACCAATGAAAACTGAGTCACATGGAAAATCTCAATATTTCATTACTTTTATTGATGATAGCTCAAGATGGGTTGAAGTTTACTTTTTGAAGAAGAAAAGTGATGCATTAGATTCTTTCAAAAGGTACAAGAACAAAGTAGAAAATTTTACAGGAAGAAAAATTAAATATCTTCAAACAGACAATGGAGGAGAGTATGTTAACAGAGAGTTCGATGGATTTTTGAATTGTAATGGTATTCAGAGAAGATTAACATGTAGCGGAACGCCTCAACAAAACGGAGTGGCTGAACGGATGAATCGTACATTAAACAACATGGCAAGATGTTTGCTCATTGAAGCAAATCTTCCTCAAACGTTTTGGGCAGAGGCAGTTGCAACAGCAGCTCATGTTAGGAATAGATGCCCATCAGATGCAATTGATGGTGTATTACCATATCATAGATGGTATAGGAAAATTCCAAATGTTTCATATCTAAAAAAGTTTGGTTGTAAAGGTTTTATCCTAGACAAGACAAATGACAAGTTTCAATCAAGAGCAAAAGAAGGGATATTTGTTGATTACTCAGATGTATCATTTGTTGGTTACTCAGATGTATCAAAGGGCTGGAGGATGTGGTTACCCGAAGATAGGAAAATCATTACAACTCGAGATGTAGTTTTTGACACATCTTCCTTTCCACATGTCGATGCAAATCATACTAATTCAAGCTTTAGGGTATTGCCTGTAGACAGTTTACTCCAAAGACACGAAAAGGTCGAAGAAAATCAAAGAAGTGTTCAAGATGATCAACCAAAAGGTACTGATGAGAAAAATGTACTTGATGATAGGCAAACATTAACAAATGAAACTAAAGCACATATGTCAAATGAAATGGAAGAGATTGAACATGACGAGCCATATATGATTGATGGGGATAATAATGGAGATGATCATCAGAATAATGATATTAACTTGAAAGTAAGAAAATCTTAAAGAAAAACAAAAGGTGTTCCTCCTAACAGACTATCATTAATAGCTCAAGGAAATGTGATTGAGCCAAAATCTTGGAAACAATTGGAGAAATTGCCTGAACCTGAGAAAAAACAATGGGTTGTAGCAGCTCAAGAAGAAATGGAAGCCTTATTAAAAAATGATACATGGGAACTCGTAGATTTACCTCCACAGAAAACAGCAGTTGGATGTAAATGGATATTTAAAGCAAAGTATGGAGATGACGGTATGGTTGAGCGCTATAAGGCACGTTTAGTAGCCAAAGGTTACTCACAGAAATATGGAGAAGACTATGATGAAATATTTGCTCCTGTTGGTAATTCAACAACAGTAAGAATTTTACTAACCATAGCAGCGACAAAAGATCTGACTGTGCATCATTTTGATGTAAAAACAGCCTTTTTAAATGGAAAATTAGAAGAAGAAATATATATGCAACAGGCCGAAGGTTTTGTGAAATCTGATAATGAAGATAAAGTTTATAAATTAAAGAAATCAATTTATGGGCTAAAACAAGCAGCTCGGGCCTGGAATGAAACACTGAATACAACAATGATGAGCATGGGATTTGAAAAAAGCAATTCTGACCCTTGTTTATATACGAGTAATACTGATGGAAATTATACATACGTAGTGGTTCATGTTGATGACATTTTGTGTGTTGGATCAATTGAAAATGTCAAGAAAACATTTCAAAAACTGACACAATGCTTTGAAATGAAAGACTTAGGAGTTGTTCACAACTACTTAGGAGTTGAAATTGATAAGATGGATGGAGACTTTTACATTCACCAAAGAAGAAAAATAAATAAAGTCATAATTGAACATGGGCTGGAAAACAGTAAACCAGCAAGAACACCAATGGAAGTTGGATTCACAACAGCCATGTCACCAGATCTGCCAGATAACAAAATGTACAGGAAGGCAATAGGATCACTTCTTTATCTTGCTGTGACATCAAGACCGGATATTTTGTCAGCTGTTGGAATTCCAGCCAGAAGAGTTGAAAAACCCACCCAAAGTGATTGGAATGCTGTAAAGTGAATAATAAGATATCTGAAAAGTACCATTGACAAGAAATTAAAATTAGGGGTGGAAAAAGAATTGAAATTGTCATGCTATGTAGATGCTGATTGGGGGGGTGATTTAGCAGATAGAAAATCAATCAGCGGAATGATGTACAAGTTAGGAAACAGCACTATAAACTGGATTAGCAAAAAAACAGACCAATGTCACTCTTTCTTCAACAGAAGCTGAATTCATGGCCGCAAGCTTAGCCACTCAAGAAGTAGTGTGGTTAAGACTATTGTTGAAAGATATGGGCTTCCCCCAAGAAAATCCTACAGTAATATTTGAAGACAATCAGAGCTGTATCAAGTTTATTGAAAATGAAAAGATGAGTGCTAGAATAAAACATTTAGATATTCGAAAACATTACGTCCGAGAAATGATAAATAAGAACAAAGTATTTCTGGAATACTGTCCAAGTGAAAATAATCAAGCGGACCTTTTAACAAAGCCACTTCTAGGGCAAGTGTTTAAAAGATCACTCTTTTACCTAGGACTTTACTAGGCATGATGTTGAGAGGGTGTGTTGGAGTTACAACATCATCCAATTTACTTATTACCTGTTTTATAAAATCATATGTTATATATCTAGTTTTGTTATGATTATAAGTAAATAAAAGTTATTATTGTGTGAGTGTTATTAAAGAATAGTTGATTCAATTTTAACATTTTCAACTGCTGTAACTTACCTTATCCTTTTCTCTTTTTTCATCTGCTTGTTGTTTACGTTTTTGAGACTTAATCTGGGCCTTGAGTGCCATTTCCGGCGTCATGACCTTTTCTCTGTATCCTGGAATGAAATATAATCATTAACATTGTTCTGTTCATTCCCTAACAAACCACCTAAAAAAGGCATATTTCAAATTAGGCTTATTTCAAACTCACTACAGAAGTCATCAGTGCAGGACTTTCGGATCATACTGCTCAACTCTGTACTGTAAACTTTAACTCACACATCAACTCAAGTTATCCAGCCCAAATTGGATGCTGCCTAAAAAATAAAAACCTGCAAGACCTCAAGTATCTTCTCAGTCAAGAAAACTGGCTTAGTGTTACCTCAATAATCAATGCCGAAGAAGCTTTTAAAACTTTTAGTAACATTGTGAGAGTAGCTATGGATGCGGCCTGCCCCCAAAAGAAGATAAAAACACAAAGAAAACATAAACTAAAATTCTCTATGGACCCAGAAGCAGTGAGACTTAAAGCCGAATTTCTTAAAGCTCTAAGAAAGTTTGAGGTGGCGGGAAATCCAGATGACAGAAGGGTTTCATTCCTAAACGACATGGTATATTAGGTGAGGTCAATACTTCAGTATGATAATTTTATGTTGGGCATCACTCACCTTATTGGAATCACGAGAACGCAGTCCTTGTCAAATCACAATCAACACAGTTCATTACACATAAAAATATACAAAAATAAAAATTAAACTAAATCTAAAATTTCAGACTTAAGTTCCCAACACCGACGTTTCGCCGCACCAAAATCAACATGCGGCGTTTTCAAGGTTATTTCTCTTCTCACGCAATCGTTGTGAGCGCCTAACCAAGACTAACGACCCCGGTGGTGGAGGAGGGGGAGGGGAGACTCTGTTATCTAGAACAGCTGATGGCATTATCTTCTTTTGTTTAGATTTTTCTATGCATCCTTTAATTTCTTTCTCTATTAGTGTATTGTAAACCGGGCTGATATCAATGGATGCGTTGGCTAATGAATCTTGATCTGAAGTAATAAACAAAGCCTCAATAATATTCCTTTTCTTCCAATTAGGCTCCTTGTATAATACACAGCTTTCCTCCCACTTTATACAATGCCCGGTGTCATGAACGTGTTCAGATATTTTTGAACCATAGGTTACACGTGTATCAACTTTTTTCATGTGTTCATGAACCCGTATGAGAGCTGGTCTTGAAGTTTGACCTACATAGCAACGTTTACACGAGCATGGGACCTTGTACACCACGTTTTATTGTCATTACCACAGTTAGGAGGCTTCACTTTAGATACATGTCTTCTTATCACGTTTTTTGAGGTAAAGACCGTCCTAATACCTTGCTTAGCATTCACGCGCCGTATTTTCTCCGAAAGGTTTTTAAGTTGATACACGTGTAACCTATGGTTAAAAAATATCTGAACACGTTCCTGACACCGGGCATTATATAAAGTGGGAGGAAAGCTGTGTATTATACAAGGAGCCTAATTGGAAGAAAAGGAATATTATTGAGGCTTTGTTTATTACTTCAGATCAAGATTCATTAGCCAACGCATCCATTGATATCAGCCCGGTTTACAATACACTAATAGAAAAAGAAATTAAAGGATGCGTAGAAAAATCTAAACAAAAGAAGATAATGCCATCAGCTGTTCTAGATAACAGAGTCTCCCCTCCCCCTCCTCCACCACCGGGGTCGTCAGTCGTGGTTAGGCGCTCACAACGATTCCGTGAGAAGAGAAATAACCTTGAAAACGCCGCACGTTGATTTTGGTGCGGCAAAACGTCGGTGTTGGGAACTTAAGTCTGAAATTTTAAATTTAGTTTTATTTTTATTTTTGTATATTTTTATGTGTAATGAACTGTGTTGATTGTGATTTGACAAGGACTGCGTTCTCGTGATTCCAATAAGGTGAGTGATGCCCAACATAAAATTATCATACAGAAGGGTTTCAATTGAAAATAAAACGAACTATGACCTGTACTTGAAAACGATGCGGAAAAAGGTTAATTCTGACCAGTTGATGAAAGCTGAAAATAAATCTAAAGCTATCTGGGAAACAATAAACACAGTGTGGTCCAAAAAGGAAACACCCCTAAATAAAATAACCCTTCAAGTTGATGGCAAACTTATAAGTAATGTGACCCATGTTGCAGAGCATTAATTTGAATACATTTTTTACACAGGTAGCAGAAAAAACAGTAGAGAAACAAAAACACCTAAAGAACACAGCTCAAACCCCACACGTAACTCAAACAGGTCCACCGTTTTCCTCCTTTCAAAGCACGGACGAGAGGGAAGTTAAAATGATTATAAACAAACTTAAAGCAAAAAACTCGTCTGGAATCGATGAAGTCTCATCAAAAATACTTAAGCATTGCTTCAATGAACTAGCACTACCCTTGGCTGATTTGATAAATAAGTCCCTAAAACAAGGCATCTTTCCTTCACTACTTAAAATAACCAAAGTATATCCAAAATTCAAAAAAGGTAGCACATTAGAATCAAGCAACTACAGACCAATTTCCCTTGTTTCCACCTTCTCCACAATATACGAAAAAGTTGTTTTAAAAAGACTTTTAGACCACTGCACAAATCACAACCTGTTGAACAACCTGCAACATGGATTTACAAAAGGGAAATCCACAACAACAGCAATAATTCAGATGGTTGAGTCCCTGATTGACAGCCTAGATGAACGAAATCTATCAACAGGAATCTTTCTTGATTTCAGTAAGGCATTTGACTGCCTTGACCACGAGCTAATCATTAAAAAGCTGAATTTCCTTGGGGTATCAGGGATAGTAAGAGAATGGTTTCAAAGCTACCTCACAGGCAGGAGTCAGTTTGTAGAACTAAGGCACAGAGATAACAGCCAAATAAGAAAAGCCAGATCAAGTTTTCAACCAATAAATCGAGGAGTTCCCCAAGGGTCTGTTATGGGTCCGGTACTATTTATCCTTTTTAACAACGATTTGCTGCAACAAATAGGAGCGCCTGCCTTACTCTTATGTACAGTAGACTCCCTCTTATCCGGACACCTTTTAACCGGACTACACTCGGCGGAACCGACATCTCTTTAACCGGAAAATTTTTATCAGCACATCGGTTTAACCGGACTAGATCGGCAGGAAGTGGGCGGCACTGAAACAATTGTTCTCGTGGGATCGATATTAGACCAGCGATCACGTGTCTAAATACAATGCTCTCCTAAATTAAGTAAAATATTTGGGTTAGTGTTTGAGTGAATCCCGTGGTGTAAACATGTATTGCTAGTCGCGTTCATACGGTGTGTACAGTACCCTGCACTAAATCATTGTGGTTGATGTGAATGTTTGTACCGATCGTTGAAGTACAATACAGTATATTACCGTGTACAGTATTGTCCAGTATACTGCTGCGTGCATTTTCTTTTTTGGACCTAGGCTAGTAGTTTTAATGTGATTACTGTATCCATATATTTAGTGCGTTTTCTTTAAGAGAATGAGTGACAAACGTAGGCGTAAAGTTGTGACAGTTGAACGAAAGCTCAATGCAATTGAACGCCTAGATAAAGGAGAATCGGTAAAAATAATTTGCAATGAACTGAATGTAGGGAAGAGTACAATTTACGACTGGCAAAAAAACCGAAAATCGCTCCAAGATTTTGTTACACAAGTGGAATCTAATAAAGCACTGACTTCACGATGCACACTGAGAAAACCAATTAACGAGCTCGTAGACGATGCGTTGTGGTTCCAACAAGAACGTCGGAGGGGTACTCCACCTAGTGGACCTATTCTTAAGGAGAAAGCAAATTTACTTCATTCGAAAATTGAAAATGGGGCCAATTTGTAGCTAGTGAAGGGTGGCTGACGAGGTGGAAGAAACGTCACGGAATCCATTTTATAGGCATATGCGGCAAAAAACTGTCAGCAGACACTATTGCATCAAGTGAATGTCCAATCAAATTTAAAGAATATCTAACCAAGCAAGGGTTACATCCTGAGCAGGTGTTCAACATGGATGAAACCGGACTGAACTTTAAAATGTTGCCACAAAGAACATTTGCGGGAAACCAAGAAAAGTCAGCTGCTGGCTTTAAAGTAAATAAAGAGCGACTGACAGTAGGTGTTTGTGCTAATGCAACCGGAACACACAAACTTCCGCTTTTTGTTATTGGAAAGGCCATGAAGCCACGAGCATTTAAAAATATAAACACGGCGTCTCTTCCTGTACACTACCGTGCGCAAAAGTCAGCATGGATGGATGCCTATTTATTCAAAGAGTGGTTTGTGTCTGAGTTTGTTCCTAGTGTTAAAAATCACCTCTTAAGTTTAAAAATGCCTATAAAGGCTGTTCTTGTACTTGACAACGCCCCTACACATCCAGAGGTAGAGCTACAGTGTGAGGGAGCAGAAGACATCAAGCTCTACTACTTACCTGCCCATACAACAAGTGTAATACAGCCAATGGACCAAGGAGTAATTACAAGTCTTAAGCGGCGTTACAGATACAAACTTCTTTCCGAAATACTTTCAAAGTTGGATGAAAATGGAGACACTGGACTAATAACTGCTTTGAAGACCATAAATATCAAGGATGTGATTTAAATGTTGGCTAAGGTCTACGAAGAAATGCCAAGCTCGACATTTATGAAGTCCTGGAGAAAACTCTGGCCAGACGTCATGGATGCGATCGAGAACAATAAAGACGACAATCCTGCTGCCCCTGCCATCCAGACTGCAACAGAACCGAATGAACCTGAACCCGACGATGACAACATGCTAAATGGTTTAAAAACCGTATCCCATTGCGATGCATTAACTGTTGAGGACTTAAATGAATGGATTACGGCCGATGACAAACTTGAAAATGAGTTTTTTACTGATGATGAAATAGTACAAGCGGTTGTTGCTGCAGAGGAAGATGTAAATGAAGAAGAAGAGGAAAATATTCAAGAGGAAAATGTTGAACGAGTTAATCACGCTGAAGCAAAAACAGCACTGGAACTAATCACATCTTACATTGAACAACAGGATGTATCTACACCGGCAGATATAATGTTTATTAAGAAATGGCGTGATTACGCATTCAAAGGAGCCGTGGACACTGAGAAACAAAAGAAAATCGACGATTACTTCAAAAACTAAATCAAATCTCAAGTTAGCAAAACATGTACACCTGTATAAGACTATAGGTTGTTTTATAGCAAAATGTGTGTTGTAATTACATAAAGCTGTGTGGTTTAATACAATAATAAATAAAATGAGTTTTGTTCAATTGTGGCCTGTTTTATGTGTTTTGTTTTTGTACAGTTTGGATAATGTTCTAAGGTAAGTGAACAGTACAAAGGTTGAATTTTATTTACAGTACAGTACAGTATAATTTATGTAAAATAAATATACAGTACGGTACAGTATTGCATTAATATATCTACAGTATAGGAATTGGCTCAAATGTGTTTATGTTTGTTTTCATGTTGTGTTAAATAAAACGTAAACCATATTTTCGTAAGGCAATGGAGTACAGTAGAATGGGCGAGACTGTAGTGGGAGAGGGTTTCAATGACAGGGACACTGCTAGTCACGAGTGTTGGGGGAGAGGAAGCCAAAACAAACCATGGAAAGAGGGGGAGAGGGACAGATGTTGTTGACGACTTGGATTCTTGGAAGTCGGTCACTAGGAAATGCAATAAATAATACATCTTGCACATATCATGAATTGTAATGGTTGTTTGTTTGTTAAATATTTAAAAGTTACCGCCTCATCATGTTTTCTAGAGTTTTGAGTTTACAGTAGTTATCATAAAGTGTCTAGTTTTACTGTTCTTACGTAATAATCATTATTGGCTTATAAGGTATGCATTTAAACGGTCCGTTTTAACAAGTTTTTGGGGACGTCGGTTTAACCGGAAAACCGTTATCCGTACTGGCCTCGGTCCCGAGGAGTCCGGATAAGAGGGAGTCTACTGTATGCTGATGACACAACCTTAGTGTTTAATGAACCACTAGCTGAAAATCTAGAAGTAAAATCCTATGAGTCACTCAGTATGGCCTACCAATACTGCTACAACAATGATCTCGCAGTAAACATGTCTACAACAACTCAAATAGCTTTTGGCCGTAAATCTCAAGAAGTGCCACAACTTCCAGATGTAGAAGTGGAAGATGAAGCTAAGTTTTTGGGCATCACACTCGACAAAAATTTAACCTGGACCCCTCATGTGGACAATTTATGTGAAAAATTAAGTTCAAGCATCTATGCTCTTAAACATATAAAAAATGCAACAGATTACATCATAACAAAAGTAGCATACTTTGCACTTTTCGAGTCGCACATGAGGTATGGACTTGTAGCATGGGGTGGAGCCTCTGCCACTAACATGCAAAGAGTTCTCACAAAACAAAAAAAGGCAGTCAGAATAACTGCAGGACTCCACAGACTCGACAGCTGCAGGGAAACATTCAGGTCACTCAAAGTACTTACCATTGTAGCGCTCTACATACAGGAAGTTGTGTTATTTGCAGTAAGAAATAACCTTACAAGGCGTGGCGAAATGCACCAACACAACCTGAGAAACACCATGCAGTACAACCTTCCACAACATCGCACGGCACAGTTTGAAAAGAAACCTTCATACACAGGAATGAATATCTTCAACAGGCTACCTCCAGATTTAAGAGGCAAGACAGAAGATGGCCTCAAACCAGCTTTGCATCAATGGCTCATTATTCATTAATCAACCTTTTTACTCTTTAAAAGAATACTATCAACAGATCTTTGACTAAACAACACCTCAACCACATATTTAGAAAAAATTGTAAATTGACGCTACTACTATTCCTAATGAATGTGTAAATAGCCTAAAGATTAATTGTCTATTGAATTATTTTTTTTTATTTACCCAAATCTTTTCACCCATATGAGGGGTACTACTGTATTTGTTTGATGACTTGTACAAAAATATTATATATGACTTTCCTAATCCATGGGGCTTCTCAGCAGTTTAACTGTCCCTCTTTTCTCAAAGTCACTGACTAAAATCTTGCCACCTCCTTACGACCATCCAGTTAAGTTGCTAGTGTTACAGTACTCACCAGTGGGCAGTGCCAATAGCTGTTCTCCACTGGAGCCAGGCTCTTTATCTGTGGTTTTTCGCTCCAACATTGCTCTTTGCCTTGCAGTCATCAGCTTAGGATCCTTAGGCTTTATCTTTTTCAATTCGTCATCTACCTGATGATAACACATACCAAGACTTAGAATGAGGGTGTGACTTCCTTTGGAAGGAGATGTAGGCTACTTTTTAGGAACAAAAGAACATGAAATAAACTGAAATTCTTTATAAAGTGGACATGAATACATATTTGGAAATGTCAACCAGCTGTCAAAGGTCATACTTTGCACTAACAATTTGTGATTACCAGTGGCGGATCCCCCCCCTCGGACATAACAATTTTTAACTATTGGGTAGGCCTGGCCTACACTCTTACCAAATAATTACTTAACTGCCAAAAATTGACAAATTTATGTATTTCCCCTCGTAACTTACTTAGCCCTGCAAGTACACTTACACTTCAGTAGCTTTTAATTTGAGAAAGCAGTCACACTCGACTCAATAAAGGATATTTTGCTTACTTCAGATTTCAGAATGTGTTGCAGTATATCAACTCCAGTCCAGTTGAGTGCATCTCCCGTGAACACCAAGACATTATAATAGTCTTTGGCAATGTCGACAAAATTCTGAACAACCCCATAAGTGTCAAGACACTATCATCGTCTACCACGATTTCGGAAATATCTTGAACATCCACATGCATGCTAAGACTCGTTATCCTGAGATCCGGACAATACACTGAACACCTAGCACGATTGCAATTTGTTAAAATATCATCATTGTGTTTCGCGATCGTGGCAAAATCTTCACGTCCCCTTTCAAGTCCCGCGCCATCACGGGGACATCATAATCGTCTTCATACCGTGCATACCGTAGGCCAGGTGATTTAATAAAGGACTGTTAAAACACTTAAAACTGACAATGGCCCTGAGTGTAGCTCCAATAAAAAAGCCAAGCAATAAGAATCTGCCGTTCCCTCCAATAGCACCACCAAAAAATTTGTAATTACCTAAGTTTGGAAATTGACAAGCATCAAGATGTAGGTCAAAATCAAAGAAAAAAACATGACATTTTCACTTAGTAGGCCTATTGTGCATAAATTGTCAATCAATGAAATTGCTCTGTTTGCAGTTAACTTCTAGAAATAATTGGAAATTGTACTAATCTAAGCTTATGTTCTGTTAAAGTTACTTACCTCTTCTAATTTTCCAGATTCTATAGCATCTAACCATCTTTCCTCTTCACTTGATGTTGCACTCTCCTTACCTTTCTTCTTTTTTTTGGAACTACTTTTGGAAGGTGAGGTAGATGTTGACGCGGGCTTTGATACAGTAGTTGATATGCTAAAAATTAAAGTTATGTCATGAACAACAGTATTTACAACAAATAAGTAGTATAGATAGATAATGTAGTAATTTAAACATGGGCTATTTAAAAATGTACTCAACTAGATAAAAAAAGGTGTAATAAAAATGTACAAACTCAAGTTTATATATCTAGGTTAATAGTTATATGCCTACTTTTGATCTATATTTATTTGAAATCACAATCAGAGTATTAGAAAAAGTGCTATATTGATTATTACTTACTATGAATATGACATAAAATACAGTAATTTTGCTCCATAGCACACATACAACAATGGTCAAATGACCGTCTGCTGGATTGGCATACAGTAAATTTTTTATATCTAGGTACGGTAGGTCCTATATATCCTACATATATGTTTATATCTGACAAATATATAATTTATATTTTTGTCCCATATAATGAATTTACAGAGCACTAAAAACAAAACACAAAATATAATCACACATTGGCTACATATATATTTTATTCTATCATTTATTAAAGATATAAATAGGCTATAACAAAATGGTTTACACAATGTTAATAGGTACACATAGATTGTTTATAGATATAAAATTTTCAAAATTAAATTACTTAACTAACTCCCATCTACCTTTCCATGCAATTTAATAAAAAAGCTTCCAAAACCCCGCCAATCCTTTCCATTCAAAGGTTTCCCAAAATACAAGAGTCGCAAGTCATTGAACACAGGGCAACTAGCAACAAAGTGTGAAACTGTTTCATTCTCGTTTTAATTACACAAGGAACAAGCGTGTTTTTTGTCGACAATCCAGGGTTATAGTCGAGGTCTATACATTTAACTATCCAAGAAATGGTTCGGTTGTCTAAACCAGTTTCTAAGAAGCTATTGTTGCCAAGGTCAAAGTCGACGACGAGGTATTGAGAGTGATAAGCTGAAGTACGCGCTCTGCCTAGACACTCAGCTCTCCAGCTGTTCTTGCTGCATGTACGACGTTAACCAACTTAGACTTTAACGTACCACGCCCCTCGCCACCCCATTCGTATATAAATTCAGGTCCACTTTCATGCCCAATTTGATTCCTAATGCTTTCCACGCTCAACACCAATCTACATTACAGTATTTCCTAACACTTCAGCAGCTAATATTCTTGGTAAACGGTCAGTCCGCTACAAGAGACAAGTCCAACGCGTAAGGTCACGTGACGCAACTAGGCTAGGTGCGCGCGCAGCCAAGGATCCACCCGCACAAACAGACGAAGAAGGAGTACATCTACATTTTGGATGAGTACTATTAGAATGAGTAGATGATATAGCAGGGGTAAGGTGCAGGGGTAGGTGAAGGGCTAGGGCCATGAATTAGCAATTTACTATCTAATTTATTAGGTTTACCAAATGGTCGTGGTCTAGTGATCAATGTTCTAAATTTGTGCAATTAATATTTGAATTCACGTTAAGGTACATCTAGTTAGTGTTACGAATCAGAATAAGTCCATTTACATAATTATTTAGACTCTGTTCACTATGTATTAATTAGATATATTAAACAACATAAAAGCTGGCTGTGATATGCAGCTAAGGTATTATTGTGCACTTTGACAAAGTAGTTAGCTTCTTCCTAATAGAGTTTGAACCACGACAGGAAATTGTAAGATTTAGTAGTGGTTAGTGGAAGATATATTGGGCCCAGGTATCTTTATTAACACTCATACCACTGCATTTCACTACAGCCCCATCCTTATATATAATACGTGAAGGCGATTTCTACAAAACACCACTCCTCCGTTAAAAATGGACGGATTTTTACAAACGAGGTGTTGAAGTTAAGTATTGTTTTTGTAGACGCCCCCTTTCACAAATTCCTGTAATAAAAGTCCTCAAGCTTTGCCCAACTAATTTCCAGGCTAATATAATTTTCATCAAACCTATAGGCCTACAATAGAACTGCAATCTCATCAATTGGGACTATACCACCACATTTGGAAAGTCCAGAATTTGTGGTAATTTTCAGAAAATAGGCCGAGTTGAACCACGTCCTTTTACTATTGCGATCGCGAAATGTGTCTGCGTAGATTTTTTAATAACAAAATTCAAGATTTTGCCACCATTGCAGAGGTTGATAAAGTTTTTCTTTAACCGCAGGAGACAATGATGGTACGGTATGTCTACACGGCCGTGAGATATATTCAACATTTTTCGGCTATCATGGAAAACGATGATGAAATGAATATCACATATATATATATATTATATATTTTAGCATTATATATTTTTTTAGTTATAATGCTTCTTTATTGAGGCGAGCTCAGGACCTCATGGTCCTTTCTTACCTCTATGATCATGTTTCCACGACTGCGGGAGACGATGATGATGTCTACAAGACCGCGGAAGATGTAGCCTACAATGCGAAAAACGATGACGATATTTCTGTGAACGCAGAGTGATTTTTTATTTTGCTGCAATCACAGCCTTTTTGCCTTCTTTAATAACGATTCTCGTTACTGGTTTAAAATTCTTTCTGTAAGCGATTCAGATGGTTAGAGGTCTACTGTACTTCTAAATTGGTTCTCAAAAAGGCTGTTTTGGGTGGCAGCTGACATAGCTGGTGGATCCTAGATGTGACAGTTCAGCGTTCAACCAGCACCAAAGATTCAATGTGCGTATAATTTCTTTAGCAATAACTGAATAATACATGTAACTGAAAACTTTTTTGCTACAGATGGTTGGTTGTGTAAATTAAGGAAATTTATAACACTATAGGCCTATGTAACATTGACTATCACCTTAATGTATCTGGATCGTCTTCATTAGCACTGATAAGGCCCAACTTCAAAAGATCTACCTTGGATTCAGAATCTAACTCAGATTTTTTCTTCTTATGTTTTTTGTGTTTATGTTTCTTGTGTTTCTTTACAGCCATTGATATAAAGTCACCTTCTGAAACCATGTACATGAGTGCATTTAAACCACACAATTATGCAATAACTTAGGCCTATTAAATCTGTTATTAATAACAGGCTTACTAAACTATACACAAAATATTGCTTTAGGTTGATTCATAGAAGGTAGCCTCAATAAATTTATAAATAAGTTAGGAAACTTCTTCATCAACACTTGTTAATGTTACTAAATTTACAGAAAGTAAATAAAAATATTGTAGAACCTCTTTAATCCGAACTATTTGGGACCGGGGGTAGTTCGGATTATTAAATAGTTCGGATTACAGAACATATTGTTGTTTTTACATAACAATAGCTAAAATGTGGCTAAAAAATGGCTCTTAATTCTTACAGGAAGAGTGAAAAAAATGCTTTATAAAGTAAAATACAGTGTTTATTTAATACAGTAGTAAACATAGTAAATAAAAAGTACTGTAAATTACAATAGAAACAATTACGGTGCGTACGTATACAATAAATAAATACTGTACTGTGTATAGAATACAGTTCAATGAGGTGTTCGGATTAGTGGACTTTCGGAATACGGGGGTTCGGATTAAAGTGGTTCTACGGTATGTCTAATAACACTCTTGAAACATGCATAGGTACACTTATAATATAGTACTGTTAACTCACAAGACAGTAGAGACATTATAAGGGTGGTGATAGAATTTGAGTTTTCAGTGTTAATTCACTTTAAATTGTTATCTGTTGAAGCAATATAAAAATATAGGCTGCACTTTACTTGACGTCCTACACTCATTCGAATGAAAATATCGATCGATATATCGATTAATCGATTGCTTCATTCGATATATCGTTTGGTTAGTTAGGTAAGGTTAACCTAACCTAACTAACCAAACGATATATATCGAATGAAACAATCGAATGAAAATATCGAATCGAAAAAACAATCGAATGAGTGTAGGACGTCAAGTAAAGTGCAGCCAAAATATATCAAAATATATGGTTCATATAACTTATATAGGCCTATGAGCTACCTATTTAAAGAAAAATCCTAATAATTTTCACTAACTTATTGTCTTCACTATAGACCGGGCGTCGCAAATATGCGACACACAAAAGGATATAAAAAATATTTAAAAAAACAAGAATATATTATTGACAAACACGATTGCAGCGTATTAAAAAGTAAATGATCACTGTTAAATATAACAGGTTGGTATTTATTCCGTATAGGTGCCTCCAAACGAATTGTTAATTTTTATATCTTACTTTATAGTTTTTTACCTCCTGAATCCAAATATACCATTATTTTTCACCGCTGATAAATATTTCTCAAGATATCGCCGTAAAAACATGCTTAAGTTTAACATTACAATAAACAAGATAGGATGGATAACATTTCAAGTGATTCTGTAGTCAAATAACTTAATGTTCTCTATAATAGGAATTTCGTCACATTATGGAGATATAGATGGACTGGAGGACTAATTACTTGTAGTTCTTATTTAGGCATGTCATAAAGCACGACCTATCACCCTGACATACCTTTTCTGACATCAAAAGGAGTTTGCTTACACATTCTAGAGGTTAGGTTATGTTAGAATAGCACCATTTTAGTATGTAATTTCTAAACGGCGAAATATAAATCAATAAATCATTAATAAGGATAAAATACCCATAGTAGTACATTCCACTTTTAAATGGCATCCATCCTACCTTGTTTATTGTAATGTTGTATATTATTACGGCGATATCTTGAGAAATATTCATCAGCTGTGAAAAATAGTGGTACCTATATTTGGATTCAGGAGGTAAAAAACTATAAAGTAAGATATCAAAATTAAAAATTTGTTTGGAGGCACCTATACGGAATAATTACCAACACGTTTTCACCCGTGGTCTGCGTGTTACTGTTAACCAAGTGACAGCCGGTCTACATGAAAGATTAAATTGGATACCTCGGTTCGTGGCAATGATCGCGGTGTCGCATAAACGTGTTAGTTAATAGTTGTCTAGAGCAAATTCTCTTACTACAGCTATTGTGGAATGGATCAATCAGTTATTGGCACAGAACTAGGCCTAAGCTTAAATCAATTCAAGATTTCATTTTATTAGACTTTGGTGTGGATTCTAACTTATACAGAACTGTAACTACAACTACAATCAGTTTTTAGAATCTAAGACAATGTTATTTTCATTGTGGTTAGGGGTACAAACGATCGGTTACATGGCTTCGGGCGATCAAACAGTTATTTCTAAGATATTGATTATAGGCTACTAGCCTAAGGTGTTTACAACGAGGTGAACAAGTTTGTAAGTTAGATTTAACTATACTTATATGTATACTCCCTCATAACCTTGACTTAATATTACAAACTTTTCATATGTTAATGAACATCAAATGAATGTCTAAGTCAATACAGTATAGGCTAGACTAGGGTAGCATAATAAACATATTGCTATAGACCTACCTAACATTGCTTCCTCCTCTGTGCTGGTATCCTTTCTCTTTCCCATACTTTAAAGCTGAGTTGTTATTGGGATTAGCAACCGACAATAATCTAGAAACAAGGCGAATTTATTTATGTGCAGGATGAATTAATATTATCTGGACTGGGCAAACAACTGACTTATCATCTACAATTTGGTAGGTTACCAATAGTCAATGGTTTGTTTACACCACGAATACTAAACTAAAATAAAACCTTTCAAGTATTCATGGTTTACACTAAACTTACACTTTTGTTTGTCAATAAATTGACATTCGAATTCGATTTGCTTGCAGACAGCGAGACAGCAGACAGACAACACAAATGGAATGGAATGGAATATGGAGTGGAGTGACTGGAGAGTGGAGACTGACTGCGACGGGAGAACAACATTTTACACTATATAAACACCTTCAGATAAAAGGACAAATTAATTAATTGTAGTAGTTTTCTAGAACAACAAAACTGATTGCCGATGCAAACGTATTTAAGCTGTATTGACAAGATTTGTTTTACATTTCTCAATGCCATTGCCAGTCTCCTAATTTCTTTGTAAGCTACAATCAGTTTATGTCGCTACACTACTGTAAAATGACCTATTTCGAATCATGCCATCACCAGCGCCATCATCATGCAGGTTCACCTGCGAAAATACATAATTACATTGTTTAGCCTACTACGGAAAAAAAATTTACTATGCAAAAGTTGTTTACAGCATTTATTTCTTCACCTTGGTATGTATCTAATAAAGTTATTCGTCAAGATACAAAGTTACTTTTTATCAGAGAAGAAATAAAAAACAAAGCGAAAAATATCAAAGAAAATTCGAAAATCATCCAAATTTCCTGGCAGTCAACCTCCTTGATAATAGCGATGCTACTTATAGGCTCAGAAGAAAACATCCAATCGATCTTCTAAATCGTTTCTAGTTTATTTTTTATGAAATGTTTTGTTTTATGTTAGTGCACTCGCTGGAGTGTAATTAACTCATGTTAAATTGTCATGACATGTACTTATTGTTTCAGTATAGAACGTCAGATTGTAAATAAAATACTTGTAAAGAAAATGTTTCTGGTTCAATGAGATATTCACAGAAGTGTTAACAAAATAAGAACAAGAAATTAAAAATAATAATATCATGGGTTCACCCAGACCTGAGACACCCTCTGTAACATAATCAGTTTAGATAAACATATTAAATTTTCTTTAGGCTTCATTCATCCAATAAATCTCAAGGGGGCCTTCCACGTAGCCTCCTACAAGGCCCCACTAGAAAAACAAATTTTTTCTAGTGGCAGTGGGACCTTATTGTCTCATGTTCTCAGTTGCTTCGCCAAGATTAAATGCCAGTGCTCCAGGAACATTGTTTAAAGACTTCAGAAATTTGGAGGGGGTTTTCCAATGAAGGCCGAGATAGACTCTGTGCTGTTTGGTATTTTTAGAATTGTTATCATATGTTACATATTTGGTGTCTGTTTTGAATGTACTGTATTGTTGTTTTACCTGGATTAATTATTTTATCGCGCCTCGTTTTCCCCTTCCAGAAACTGATGAGAACCTCTTTAGAGAAGGAGTGGGGGCGTGACGGTACCAGCGAACACATAACAAAATAGAAGCGCTACTCGGAGCGGAGGAGCGTGGCAGTCTGACTAGCCGACGAAACGGACAAAGATGGCGGCGCTAGCCTAGTCCCGGCGTCAGCAACGCGCTGGTCGTCTGCTATGCTTCGAGTCAGTGTTGTTTACATAGGCTTTGTTTAAATGTAAAAATACTTTTGTATAAAAATTACTTAGGTTTTTCTGGAAGTACATTGTCGTATTAGTATATTGTTGGAAATGTCTTAAAGTAAATCAATTGTTTTTACCGTAGTAAATCGATTTTTTTTTATCGCGGGAGAAATTTTTGTTTACAAATATATATCTGTTTAAAAAAACATCTTTGTTCACATTATAAATCTGTCATATTAGTGTTATTTTATTTCTTGTGTCACGACAAACACGATGGCATTTTGAACGACATTTTTAGCGTCTTATTAACGATGTTAGCATACGTTTTAAAAATAAACATCACCATAAAGACTATTGTGAGTAAAAATTTTAAAATGCATGGAACTGTTAACAATAAACCTACCAATAAGCCATAACAATTTCACAAATATTGGCTGAGTAGTTTGTTTACAATTAAATTTTAAACTTCAGTGTTAGTGCAGAGTTTCTTAAAAATCGGTACTTTTTAGGATCTTTCAACTATATAAATTTTTCTAGTAAACGGAATTTTTTTAATTTTTACCACGTAAAATGTATTTAAACCAGATTATATTTAATTTTTGTCTCAACAAAATCTGATAGTTCATCTCAAGAGATATTTAGGCTCAAACTCGAGTGCACATATTTATTTCCCCAACAGTAGTCCCGGCGTGTGCAGCGCGCTAGTCGTCTGTTATGCTTGATGAGAATAGTGTAGATATAAAGTTAACGATATTAGTGTAAAGGAAAACAATGTAATTGAGGACTTAACGAACAAAGTACTTGGACAATGTGTAGGTGTAAATTTGTTTCCAAATATTACACATTTCTCAGGATATGAAACAATATGGACAAAAATCATTTTTGTTTCGTACCTAATTAAAATTATTGCTCAAAAATATTCCAATGTTAGAGTTTGCTACTACTGTAAAATAAGTAACGAAAGTCTTCACAAAAATAAAATCAGGCAACATCTCAATAAAACTGTAATTTTTCTGGGGCAATAAATTGAGTGTAATTTTACAAATATATTTGGGAAGTTTAATTTAACTTACAGAATTATCTTTAGTTTATCTCGGATGATATTGAAAGCTAATTAGTCCTTAAAAAGTTGTGCTAAACGGTTGAAAATTTTACATAGACAATATATTTGAAAATGTCATTAATATATACAATATTACAGTACAACAGTATAAATTATTAAAACACTGCACGCTAAATGTATAGAAGACGGCCGGCGGTGCAGCGGCGTGGCGCGGAGCAGCGGCAATGGATCCCTTTTGTACCTGATTTTTTAGAAAACCGAACATGATAAAAAATTTTGGTGAATCGTATAGTTAAATTTGGTTATTTATCCACAACTTTCCCGCTGACGAAATTTCTCTGACCAAAAAATAAAAAATGTCGTCGCAATACAACTTTTTCATGTCTGAATTTGAAAAATTAAACTACATAAGTATTAAACATATTTATAACTCAATTACTATCATAACTAATAATTTTATATTAACACCATCGTTTTTCTCAGTATCATATCTACAAGTGTGCAAAATTTCAGAATTTGTTGTCAACTATTAATGTTGTTTATGATCGTGTATTTGTTGCGGGGTTTTTAATGCGAACTGAGCTCGCGGGTCTTGGATTCAGGCTGTATGACGGACCAAGATGGCGGATTTGGCCACACTTTCAGTGCATTTGGTTAAACGCCGTGTCCTCTCTATTATTATTATTATTATGTGCTCGCTGGACGGTACTCTTCTCTTTCTTAAATCGACGTGAGGGGATCATCGATGTATAATAACTCCCTGGATTGCGCGCTCAGGTTGAAGTAGGGCTCGTAAACGGTCCGTCGCTACCACGCTCTGTCCGCGAGGAGTGGGGATAAAGGCATGAGTCACCCTAGTGGCGAGCGTCGTGCCCGCTCTCGCTGTGTATTGCTATTTAGTTTTGTGGAAATATTCCGAGGATAATTGATTGTAATGAACTTAAGGAGGTTTTATAAGCAGATATAATTAATCTACGTACTTGCTCACACTTTATAGACTATGTGTCAAAAGTAAATCACATAAGAAATGTAGTGGTGATATAGAAGAGTTAGATTTATTTATATTTGAACATTAACCAGAGCAAAGTATATCACAATAATTATTTGATCACATATGCATGTCATCATTTGCTTCGGTGAGGCCCAATTATTGAGAGACTTTGCATCATTTAAGAATATATATTTTGTTTATATCAATATCAATATGTTTCTTTGTCATACTGATTAACGTGTTTGGAAAACATATTATGCTGCTAAATAAAATAAGTGTATAATATTTAATGTCAATATCTCAAATGTATTCATTATTCTCACTGAAGTATAATAACAAAATATTTTTTTAGGTATTAAATACTAATGTGAAATCCAACATTTATTCTTTGATTCAAAGAATTTTGTTAACTATAGACTACTGGTAAGCATTAAAATGCACAAACATACGCCTGTAAATTAAGTTACCATTATTCGTAATGTAATGACATATTTGATGTAATATAATGATAATTAAATGCTAGAAACTCAGTTTCTATATCCCGTAAACTGATGCTGAGCCGGCCGAGCTCCTAGCGCCAATGCCGCGCCAAGCGATTTTATGCCTATTTTTAATCGCTTAAAAATGATACAAGCAGGCTCCGTATCAAAAAAAGCTTAGAATAAAAAATAAAATTCATACTTTGATCTAAAACTTTGCCGAAGGAATTTTTTTCCTGACCAAAAAATAAAAAAGTTCCTCGCTTACTACATTTTTCATGTTTTTAATGGTGTTAAAAAACAATCATCTGTTTTATTTTGCCTAAATAAATTATAAAAAATATGTTAATGTAAAAACTAGCTACACAGTAATGAGCACTTGGTTTTCCAGCAAAATAATACATCAATTTGAAATTTTTATGTCAAGAAATAAGTGTAGCAGAGCAGGTTGAGTGAATGTATGTTTGTGTAAAACAGAGAGGTTCAATCGGCCCGTCCGCCTCGGTATCCCGCTAATTCGATTGGCGGGCACGGACCGTTTTCCACCACCTAGCGCGCTATCCAGTAGAGTTATCATACATCGATGCCACCACCTAGCGCGCTATCCAGTAGAGTTATTATACATCGATGGAGGGGATCTCCCACAATCCCCCACTCCTTCGCAGAAAAGGTTCTCATCAGTTTCTGGAAGGGTAAAATGAGACGCTAGTTAATTATTTGGCTGATGATTAGGTTGCCATGAAAAATGTATTGGTTCTTGTGGCACATCAATCATTACGTTTGAGTTATTTGTGAGTCGTAACAAACGGTTTCCGTAAAAATAGTATGGCATAAAAAAATATCGTACGTCACTCGTACAAAATGTGTTTACGGACTCGTATGGTAATTCCACACTCGACTTCGTCTCGCATGGCAAATACCAGTAATACCACACTAATCCGGTAAACACAAAATTTTCAGGACTAGTAA